ATATGTCAGGCACTATATTAAATATAAATAATATTATTTATAAATACTGTTATCTGTAGAAATTCCTGTTGTGGAAGCATCAAAACATAAATGAGTACCATTTAGGAAGCTGTGACAATATTCTAAGCTTGAACTATAGGGGTAGAAAGGCAGCTATGAGACACTTCAGAAGGAAAATGTACAGAACAGTGCAATCAGTTGTCTGTGGGGAATGAGTAAAAGGAAATCAAAGTTGGGTGTCATTTCTAGATTGAATAAGTGTATGATGCCATTCATATAAATAGGGACAACTGATGGAATAAAAGATTTTGGAGAAAGATGGCTAGTTTGATTTTGGATATGTATAACTCAGGGCTTTCTGTGTACGAATGAATTGGAAGTGTGCATTTGGATATTATGTGTAGAATGGAACTTTGAGAGTCAATTACTTAGGAGAGGTAGCTGAAGATCATGCAAAAAGGAAAAAGGAAGGGCAGCAGAGGTGGATAGGAGGAGGTAATGAGATAATGAATTAGACAATGACACCAAGGAGGAATTGGGGGAAAGAGGAAAAGGAAAACTGCCAAAGTGCAGTGACATGGAAGCCAAGGAGGTGAGGAGGAGCTTGTCAACAGGTCAAAAGGTGTAGAGAGGTAGCCAATGCCAACAAAAAAGAGGCCACTGGATTTACAGATCGAGAGTCTATTGAGATGAACTACCTCCGGGAGTTGTTTTGAAAATTTAGCAGAGTGATTTTGCTTATCCCAGTGATTGCAGAGGGGGACTACTAGAATGTAGTTAGTCAGCCAAAGATGCTAAACATCTTTTAATGCCTAGGACAGTCCTGTACAGCAGAGAATTTTCCTGCATCCTTGTGGAACTTGACTGTCCCACTGATCATTTGGGTAGGTGAAAAACATTTATATTTACTGGAGCCCAGAATCTATCTTGTTTATAAACATAAACTGTTTTTCACAGACTTTATAAAATATATTAAAATTTCCTGGAATGCAGTAAATCAAATGGCAATGCCATTCCTGGAATTTGAAAATCACCGATACAGTTCGTTATGTGGCTGGCCATTTCCTGGTGATTCTACAGATGAGTGCAAGCATCTAAATACTTCATTGTGTCTTTTAGTTTAGGGCATAGCTTTGATTTTTTAAAATTTACATATGTAGGTACCTTACGACTTTTTCTTTACAATGTTAAACAGGATACTACCTCATATTTGTTATTAAAAGGGGCATTAGTGTTGACAAGGCTGAGAACCATTTATTCAGTCAGTCAATTATCTTTTGAGTGCCTACTATATGCTAGGAAATGTTGCAGAAAAAATGCAAAAATCAGGCTGGCAAGAAACCAAGCAGCACTCGGAGAGTTGGAGAACTCAGGTTTATTACGCTGGCGGTCCCAGAGGAGCTAGCATTCTGAAGATCTGAGCCCAGAGCTCAGTTGCAACATTGCTTATATAGAACTTATTTGGCATGGGCTGATTGGTTAATTTGTCCTCAGACTGTTCCAAAGCGGGAGTTGCCATGGTTGCAGGTAGTTACAAAGAGTTACAAAGTGCAGGGAGTTGCTATGGGTTACAGGTAGTTACATTTGTTGCTTAGACAGAGCAAGCCTAAGAGAGGATGAGTTTTTAGTTACTTTTGAGTACTGCAGCAAGCATATCTATAGAAGCAGAACAAAGAGCTGATTAGCTTTCTGACTGCAAATTTCTCTTCAGCACCATTATAGATACTCGAGATATACTAACAAATAAAACAGAAAAAGTTTATGCCCTTATGGAGCTTGGGTGTAGGAGAGGCAGACAATAAATAATAAAAATAACTAAACAAATTATATTATATATTAGAAAGTGATAAATGTTATGAAAAATAAAGCAGGATAAAGAAGATGGGAAATGCAGAAGACAGTGTGGGTTGAAATGTTAAATATAGTGATCAGAGTAATGTTTATTGAGAAAGTGACATTCAAGGAAAAATCTGAAGTTGGTAAGAGAATGCCTTGTAGATTTCTGAGAAAAGGACATTCCAGAAAGAGAGAACAGTCAGACATAGGCCACAAAGTGAGTATGTGCCTGGAGTTTTCAAGAAACAGCAAGGATGGTAGCTAGTGTGGCTGGATTGGAGAAAGTGGGGAGTGAGAAGTTGGAGAACTGAGGATAACCACTGGGTTGGAACAGGTGACATAGAGCTTGCAGGGCATTGCAAGAACTTTAGCTTTCATGCTGAATGAAATGGGCAGCCACTGGAGAGTTTTGAGCAGAGAACTAACATAGTGAGGCATGTTTTTGAAGGATTATTCTGACTGCTGTATTCAGCGTAAATCATAGATACCAATGGTGGAAGCGAATAGGCAAGAAGCTATTGCTGTAATCCAAGCAAAAAATAATAATAGTAGGTTGCACCCGAGTGGTCACAATGAAAAATGATGTGGGAGAGGAATCACAAATTCCAGAGGGCACAGTGCAGAAGTTTCAGGGGTTGGAGAGGGATGGAAGATGGAGAGAGATTAGGAAGTGTTCAAAGCCTTTTGGGAATGAGACTTCGGAGAAGACCTGGGAGTCTGGGACTTCTCGCAGTGACTGACATAAACAAAGATAAAGGGGATATTAAAACCAGAGGAATCAAGAAATAAAAAGTATGTGTGTGTGGGCGGGGGGAGGTTGCTGTGAGTGTTTGAAGTAGGCAGGAATGTTTGAGTTCCCTGACTCTATGATAGAGACAAAGAGGTTTGAGAATCAGGTGGCTTCTCAATCCATGTTGGTGGAATGTTGAAGGCCTGGGGAGGGGAGGACTCAGTTCCAGGGCAATGCTCATCCACGCCTGTCAGGAGAGGGGCCACCATGTTCACAGTGCATAGTCTTCTTCCCCTCTGCCCTTGACCTTTTTGATGGAGTTAACCCTTTGATGGAGTTGAGGATTTGGGGACAAGCTAATAATTACTTTAAGTACAAAGGCCTATAAATGATATTGATTCAATAAAATGTATGTTCAGGAGAGGTAGATTTGTAATTGTGGAAATGGAGTGTGCAGTAGAGAATTTTGGCAAAGAAGGACAGGAGAAAGCTGATCCCTTTAGAACTGGAGGCAGGAGACAACTATGTCAGGTGACATGAGCCATTATTCGGAAACATGAAAATTTTGAACAGAGGGGATAAATGATGGAATAACATTTTCAAGAAGATGGAACTATGAACTGTTTATTCTTGGATGGATGATAGAACAATTTTTCCTGTCAGAAAGGAAAGAAATGATTCAAGAAAGTTGTAAATAGAAGAGATGTGACATTTAAAATCTTGTTTGTTTATTGCGAAAAACAGCCAAATATGTGGTAAAAGTTAAAGCAATCAGAAATTAATAATAAAAAGTGAAAAATTTCCAATCAATACATTTCTAGAATTATCCCTGTTAAATGTTTGATGTATATTGTCCAAAGTTTTTCCCTGTGCATATGATTTTTTTTATGTAGATGTTACATGAGTACCTAAAAAAATTTTTTTTTTCTTTACGGGCTATAAGATTTATATAATGTATTTATTGAGCATCTATTACATAGAAGTTTTATCATCAGTCTTTTTGATCATGTTATTTACATCCTCTATATTCATACATATTTTTTCTCCTTTATTTTTCAAAAATTGAAAAAAATACTGAAATCTAACATTTCCTTTATTTTTCTTTTATTTCTGAAGTTTTTCTTTATGTGCTTTAATGCTGCATTATTTGATACATGAAGATTTAGACTGTCGATAACTTTATTGCTAATTGTATCCTTTGCCATTATAAAGTGACTCTTTGTCCCATTTACTAATTTTTAAAAAATAGTTTATTCTTTCCCTCTTGCAATTATGTTAATTAGATATGTTTATCTGTTAGATACTCTTATCTGTTATGTCTCTTTACATTTTGAATCCTTATTGTTTCTTTTTCTCTTTTGCTTTATGATCTGTTTTCTTTGTTTTGTTTTTATTATTTTTATATTCCTCTGTGTGCTAGTTATCTATTGCCATGTAAAAAACTACCCTAAAACTTAGAAACTTAAAACAACACACGCTTTTTTATCTCGCACTTTCTGTGGGTCAGGAATCCTAGCATGGCTTAGCCAAGTCCTCTGCTTCAGGATGTTCACAGGCTAGGTTGGGCTGGGCTCCATTCTTAACCGAAGAGTCAACTTGAGGGAAGACCTGCTTTCAAGCTCAGCCATGTAGTTGTTGGCAGGATTTAGTTCCTCATGGGCCCTTGGAAGCTTCCGTTTCCTGCCACATGGGCCTTGCCATAGGGCAATTCACAACTTTATCTAAGCAGGTATGTGAGAAAAGTCAGAGAAACAGTGCAAGCAAGACAAAAGTCATAGTCTTCTATTGTCTAATTTTAGAAGTGAAATCCATCATTTTGCCACATTCCCTTTGTTAGAGGCAAGTCATTATGTCCAGCCTACCCATGTGTAAGGGCATGAATGCCAGGAGGGTGAGATCTCTGGGAGCCACCACTATACTCTGGTAATTTGGACATTGTAAAGTGTATTAAATAATATGTTTGCATTTACATTTCTCAATTTACCTTAAAAAATGAAACGATGATGAAAGATGATGAAATTAATTTACTAAAGACTTATCTTCTCCTCTCCCACCTTTCCATTAGTTTTGAGAGCAAATATGATTCTTGTTCCAATCTATTATAATCAAAATATTATTTTTTATATTATGTAATTTTTCTTTTAATTATAACAATTATATTTAATTTTTATGACTTACAATACCAGTTACTTAAATATAATTTTATGTATAAATGAAGTCAAGACTCACAGCCAAACCTTTTGTACCTCATGACTTGTTCATTCATGAACTCATCGTTAGTCATCTGTTCATTGTCTTGAAATTTTTTCCTCATAAAATTTTCAGAAATGCATAAATATTATGTTTCTCGAGTTTTTGCATATTTGAGAATTTCTTTCTCTTACCATTATTTATGAAAGGTGGTTAGAACAGATATAGAATTTTTTCCCCCTTCGATATTCATTAACCCACTGTTCCATTTTCTTCTAGCATCTAACATGGCTTGGAATATGTCCAAAATCTTTGTTTTTGAAGATGACCTTTTTCCCCCTGCCCAGATGCTGTGAGATTTTTTTTCAATCCTTGAAATTCTAGAAAAATGCTTTTATTAAATTTTCTTGGAATGTGGTGAATCCTTTCATAATATAACTTTAAGATATGCTTTATTTCAGAAAATTCTTCTATTATGTAAATTTATTCAGTTCCATTTATTCATTCACATCTTCAAAGGCAGCAGTCATTCATATGTCACTTCTCTATTATCTGTTGGCCATATCTTTTATCTTCTCTCTGATCACCTTCATTCTATACCATTTTCTACTAAATTTTCTGTGATTTTTTTTTATATAGCTTGCTTTTAGTTTAAGTTCTACTCCTTGGTGCTTTTAGTGTGATTTTCAGTAATTCAGTTTTTTTCTCCTTGTTTATTCCCTCTTCTTTTCCAGATTCTTTTACTTTTACTGTTGTAAGTATCCCATGATTTTTTTTTTTCTGACTTTTTTAAAAAATTTTTAAAGGAAGTCAGTGAGGTCTAGTTGTTTGGCTCAAGAATAAAATGAGTGAGTGTCTTGCCCTCTACCCTGTTTATCTGCCTACAGTTTGAATTATCCGCCTAAAATGTAAACTAAAGAACTGAATGGTGATGGCTTATAATCTTTGGTCCATAATTCAATGGTGGATGAGCTGAGACAGAGGGAACAATCAACTGTTAATGAAGGAGAGAGACTGGAGTGGGGAAGAGAAGGAGAGAAGGAGAGGGAGAGAGAAATTAATTTTTTCCTACTTATTCCCCAAATTTTTTAACAAAGTATTTGAGTGACATTATGATATAAGAAGCAATTTAAAAAAATTTTTAACATATAAATGAAAACAAAATATCAACACTAGAGGAGAAATAAAAATGTGGATGTATAGCTTCAGCATCCTACAGTTATTAAAATTAAGTTATTGCTGGATTTTTAGGCTTCGTGGCTACCAAAGCAAAAAAAAACCCCACATAATTAGATTCTCATGGACTCTGAAGGAAAACCTAAAGTTCTGTAACACTTAGCAATGAAAAAAATATCAAATGGGTCAGGGTTCTTAATGAATTGATGTAATAAATGTAATAGTGACATTTATTATGCTATTTCTTATAGCATTGCTTAGTGAAAAGTAAAAATCTGGCATCCAGACATGGTCTGGAGAAAGCAAATTCCTGTGGTTCTAAGTCAGTATGATCCATGCTTATTCGGAAGATACAATATTCTGTAGGAGTAATAAATAGTGTTTTGGGGTTGAATTGTGTCCCCAAAAAGGTATATTGAAGTGCTAATCCCTAGGACCTTAGAATGTGATCTTATTTGGAAATAGAGTCATTGCGATGTAATTAGTTAAGATGAGGTCGTATTGGAATAAGGAGAGGGCCCTAATCCTATAGACTGATATCTTTGTGTGAAGAGTGAAACGTAGAGAGGAAGATGCTATATGAAGACACAGACACACAAAGGGAAGATGGAGGTAAAGATTGGAGTTAAGCTGCCTCAAGGCAAGGAACATTTGGGGCTACAAGAAGCTGGAAGAGGCAAGAAAGTATCTTCCTCTAGACATGTCGGAGGGACCTTGACTCTGCCGACACCTTGATTTCAGACTTCTGTCCTGCAGACTATGAGAGAATAACTTTCTGTTGTTTTAAGGCACTTTATTATGACAGCCTTAGGAAACTAACAGATATACTGTATTTTGTTCAACAATGTTATAAAAGTTCTTTCATCCAAGATTTGGTATGTATTAGATAACAAAAAGTTTGATAAGGAACTAAAATAGGTTTTATATGCTGATATTGAGAATGGATCCATATGCTTTAAATGAAAAAAAAAAAACAACTTTAAATATTTGTAAGGTAAACATTCCTTATGAACACTGCTGTGCCATACTTAAGATGCACACTTGAATGCATCTCACACATGGAGGAAAGGCCAAGTATATACTTTTAAAGGCCAAGTATATACAAATCCAGGAGTTTTCTTTTAACGATGTAGAATCTGTTTTGTCACACAAAATAAATGAACATTGCTGAGATGATTTAGTCTGGAAGGTTTACAAAACAGGTGATACCTTTCCCTTACCGCAAGAATTGGACTGACACATGATTACAAGCCATAGATCAGTGAGAAAATGCAGGATAATTTTAGTATAGTCATAAGGATTTGTAACAATGAGTAGATAGCAGATTGAATTGTATGTTGAAACTACCCGTAATCATTAAAAATTCACCATTGGAATGCAGGATACCCACCCTCATGTTTTCTATAGTGGGAAGGATGTATATACAGATTTTCCAAAACTTATCTTTCTTTCTTACTTTCTTTATTTCCTCTTGACCAGTGATTTTTATTCCCAGGCAGATGGTATTAAGAAGTTTGTACAGTCTCATCATCTTATTCAAAGGTCAAACTTTTGGACATTCTCCAAAACACATCAGTCTAGAGATATGGAAAGGAGGGCGTAAGTCTCTGAGAGTTAGAAATAATCACAAAATCCTAAATTAAAATCATGCAATTTGCAGTAGCAATATAGCCAGTTGGAGACAGACTCAGTGGCAGGAGAAAGACACGTTAAACGGCAGACATAGGGTGATATTGGTTTGCATACAGTAATGATGCTGTATAGCGAGAGCTATACCCAGACTCAGCTATCTAGGGGTAGAGAAGCGTCCAGTGCTGAGTTACTTATATCCTAAGATATAAGCAATTTGAAATAATAAATATATTAAGTAAATACATATAGAAGACTTCTCTTACTCTGAGGTACTCAGTGTGAGTGATAAAAAATATATATCTTTAAAATTCATGAATAAATTTAAAAGTTAAAAGAATATTTAATATGTTGAAATAAAATATAAAGAAATAAAATGTGAGGAAGGAGAAACTATAAAAATATCCATTATATTTGAAAAATAATAAACATAAAACTTCTAGAAATGAAAAATGAAAAAATTGAAATTAAAAACCCAGTGGAAGAATTAACAGCAGAGAAGACTACAGCTAAACAGAGAATTAGGGAGTAGTAAGTATAGACTGGAGCACCTTATACAGAATACAGCACAGACAACTTATGACAGAAAGGTTAAAAGTCATTGAGGATAGAGTGAGAAAGGTTTAATATGCCTCTAACCAGAATTTTAAGAGGAAATAATAGAGAAAGGGACAAAGCAGTATTTGAAGTGACAGTGAATGAGAATTTTTGGAATTGTTGAAAGATAGCAATCTCAGATTCTAAAACCCGAAGGATCCCCCGTGAGGTAAATTTAAACAGACACTCACACAACTAAATGTATTGTTGTAAAACTTCAAAATACCAAAGACAAAGAGAAGGTATTAAAATTAACCAAAGTACAGATTACCGATAAAGGAATGACAATGAGACAGCTGAATACTCAGCAACAAAAGGAAAGACAAGGTTGTCTGGTAAGGGCCCGTTCCTAGTTCATAGACAGCTGTCTTTTTGCTGTGTCTTCACATAGTAGAACAGACAGAGAGCCTTCTCAGGCCTCTTTATAAGGGTACTAATTCTTGAAGGCTCCACCCTCATGACCTAATTACCTGCCAAAGCTCTACCTGCAAGTAGCATCACCTTTGGTGTTAGGATTTCAATATATGAATTTGATGGGGACACAAACATTAGGACAATAGCAGGCATATAAGGAGATTCAGTGGCATTGGCAATGCTCCAGAGTAGTAATTTAACTGGAATTGTTTTTATGCTTTGTTTTAAATGTATATATTGCATATGTTTCTTTGTAAGCACCAAATATTTCATATTTTAAAAAATAATAGGTAATAAAAAGGGGGAAAAAAACTAAATATGACCAGAATATAGCTTTGTTTTATGGTGCTTGAAATAACTAACTGAGCTGTTTGAGGCATTACACTTGACTCTGATGCTCATGTGAGTATTAAATATGTTATTTTTACATAAACTCAGTAACTGGGAACTACTGTGAGCCCATGTGACTTAATTGGCATCTGATTCCTCTCTGCAGAGTCAAAGCCAAGAAGTCAACAAAGGTGGACCTTCTCACGGAGAGTGTCTTAGAGGACAAACAGCCTTCCTAGCATCAACTTCACTCCCAACTGCTCCTCAACACTGTGTGATTGTTCCATCCAAGCACTGTTCTAACCACATACAATCCTCACAGCAACCCTTTGAGGCAGGTACTGTTATTATTCCCATTTTACAGATAGGCAAACTGAGGTCCACAGTGGTCAAATGCTTTGCCCAAGATCACCCAACTAAAAAGTGGCAGAGTCTTGATTCAAACACAGTTTGAGTTAAGAGCCTATGCTCTTATCCATCGCTCTATACTTCATCTCAATTGTTCTACTTTATGGTAGATAAGATTTACACTGAGGCATTGTGTTAAAATGTAGCTTCTTCTGACATAGTTGCTCTGAAGTTGGTCTTCGAATGAGCCCTGGAATTCACATTGTCAGCTGTCATCTTAATATTTGCCACTAATTTGACTTCTGTCCAATTTACCCCTCCCACAAATCTGATCATACCTCTGCTCTACTTAATACTCTTTTATGTGTCTCTTCAGCATTAAGACTCAAGTTTAACCCTCTTAGATTAGCACAAAGGCTATTCAACTCCCGGCCCCTGACCATCCCTTTTGTGTCACAGCCATCCATTCTCCTAAACCCTTTCTTTATTTGCATCCTATGGATCTTTTTCCAAAACTGGTGTTTCACACCTAGCACACTCTGCTCTCTACCCAGAAATGCTCTGTCTGCATTCTTCTTGTAGCTAACTCCTACACATCCTTCATACTTCTGGATCTTCACTTTACACCTACCCCCAATATTGATTTAGAAACCTACCCTCTGCTCTTCGATAACACCCCCATGCTTTCTTATATCATGGAGCTAATGGCAATATATTGTAACCTTCAGTGTATCGAATGTCTCCTCTAATAGTCTGTACTAACAATAATAAATATTACTAATGGAGTAGCCCTAGGAAATTTATATACAATATTTCTAATTCCCAGTACGACCCCAAAAGGTGCTTATCTTCAGCTGCATTTTAAGGTTAAAGAAACCAAGGTATAGAGAGTGGGTTAGCAAGTCCATGGGCATAACATTACAATGGCAGCATCACACTCACATCTGGTTCCATAATATTTCATTTGATTCTGTCTCCCCAGCACCTAGCATTAGTGCTAACACTTTCCTTGTTAGATGGATGTGGATGGATGGATGGTCTGGGTTGCCATGGGTCCAAGTTTAGAAGAAAGCCAAATTTGAAGTCAGTGGGAAGACTCATGCTTAGGTTCTGCCTGTACTTCTACCTGGCTGCTAAGATAGGATTGTTCCTTAACATTGAGTGAGTCCAGAGGTGATTACTATGGCAAGTGAGCTTCAGGTGGGGAGAAGAACTTGACTTGGCACGAGAAGCTGCAGATCAACAGGCAGGACAGAAAGGGAGTCTTAACCCAGAAGCAGGGTGCCCATTAGTGCAAGTTTTCTTTGGAGAAAGAACTATGTTGTCATGTAATCTTTATCTTATTTCCTCAGATGGAGAGATAGTGATTTGCTATCTCTTTGTGCAGCTGTGACCAAAGATTGATGTGGGCTTGGCCTCAGTGCGAATGTGTGCATACCACCTGCCTTTTGGTTTGTGTCCAAGGTTCTGCTGTTTTCTGAAATAAGATGCTGACAGGGACTGCCTCTGACTCAGTCCCTTTCATCTTATGTTCTTTCTGGTACTCTGTCCTAAATGTATCAATCCATCTCAGAATCTTTGCTACATGCCAGATTTGTAAAATTTGTGAAATTTGTGAGTTATTACTGAGAGATTTAAACTTGCTTTTATTAGTTCCTGGAAGTTGGTATCGTGTGAATCAGAAGAAATATATATCTTTTTTTTTACGCTGCTTTTCTAATGATACACAAGGTCACGGGCCTCCTTTGCCCTGAATCTTTTGAATAAGGTAACAGAGTTTGTTAAGGCCACCCCCTTGGGGTGCACTCCACCTCAGTTGGTCCGGGAGGAGGTGCGTTTCTGCTTCTGGATTAGCCTTAACTTGCTGTGACTTGCTGAGCCCTCTTAACTCCCTCTCTGCCCTATCTCCTCTAATGTCTTCACTTTAAGTGACTGTTTAACGAGGTCTTCTCTGCACCCCGTGTAACTGGAAGTGGTAATGCTGCAGGTTCTGAATGCCTGCAAAGGCCCCCTCTCTGCTCTAGCCACTGGGTCCCCCGTCTCCATTCAGCTCTTCTACAGAGAAGCCCCGAGTAGGATTCTACTCCTCTCACCCGCTACCCACCTTCTCCACCCCTGAACGATGAGATTTAAACAGTGATGATCACTTTTCAGATCTTTTTTATTTTCGTCTACTGATAAGGCTCTCGGAACTTAATTCCCTATGATGTAAACTTTCTTAGTTTTATGTAACTAAGTTTGTTTATTTCTCCCTGACTTAGTATCTCAAGCGATATAGTGCTGATTAGCGTAGTGATGGAGCCTATTCTATTTTCTGCCTCTAATTCTCATTTCTCTCTGACAAAAAACAATCAGGGAGATGAGGACAGGCAGATATCTGGTACATCCAGTGACTTTCCTTTTTTTTTTTTTACATTTCATATTATTATTATTATGAAAGTAATACATGTTTATCATCAGTAAATAGTGTAGAACTATACAAATTTCTCAATCACATCTCCTACTAATAGTGTGGTGAGTATTATTCCAGGTATTCCCTTTACACATTTACTAAAAATTAAAATAAAATAAAAATCACACACAACACACACACAAAACACACTTCATATACAGAAAGAGTACTACCAAAGATACTATTCTGCATTTTGACTTTTTTCATTTAATAATTACCACAATTATTTTCTATGCCACTCTATTTGTTTGTCTGTATTCTTTTTAATATTTTACAAAATACTTTTATTAGTTAGAACGCTCTGGCTTCAAGTTACAGAAGCCCAACTCAAACTATCTCAAACATAAAAGCGAATTTACTGGTTCACAAGAGATGGGGGAAGAAAGGTAGGGCGGGCCTGAGGAAGGGATGTGTCCCAGTGGTGGCCTCAGGATATCTTCTCTTTCCGTTTCTCAGCACTGATGTTCTATTTTGGCTTCATTCATTTCTAGAGCAAAGCAAACTTGTTTATTCCATGCCACAGGGACAAGAAGAGTCATCCCTGCTGATACCTTCAAGCTTTTGTCATCCAAGAGCAACCAACTGTCTGGGTAACCTCAAGCATTACTTGGCCTTTCTAAAATGCAATTCTGTCATGTAAACAGACATTCTTGGGCTTACTGTCCTTAGCTGCTCGCTGTGGCCCAGCCAGTCTCCTTTCAGGTGTGCAAGCTGGAAGTCCAGGAAGCAAAGTTACCTTCTGCTCCAGAGTACCTTATAGGTGCAGAAGGCCCACTCCTCCTGGGAGAGGAACCCGACCACATCCTTGAGGGCCATGCATCTTGGAGTCCATCTCCTCTTATCTGGGCCTGGTCTCAGGGAGCCGATGCCAGGCCTTCATTTTGTTGGGTGCCCTTTTGAGGGTAGAGGCAGAGCTACCCAGACCATAAATCTTTCACCGAATGTCTCTCTCAACAATGAACAGCTCAGGGACTCTCCCACTTCATTTCTGGGACCAAGGCTGTTCCTCCTCTCATGAATTCTTAAGATTATGCTTCATTATTTCAAAATTAAGCTTCAGAAGCCCTCACACACTAGTGCCCATGGTGGAGCTTTCTTCAAATAAAGATTTCTGGGCCCTACCCCCTGAGACTGAGTTGGTAGACCTGGGATAAGGCCCTGGAATCTATACTTTTTAAAAGCAACACACCCGATTTTATGATCTAAGAGATTTGGGAAGGACAAACATACAAATCTTCCTGCATAATTTTCTTAGTTTAACTTTATCTTCCCAAAGGGCAGCAGCAAGGTAGGTATCAGCTCCTTTCTCGGGGCACAAATGACTGGCCCTGGCCAAGTGTGCTTAATAGAAAAGTGTGTCCGAGTCCCTCCCTGACTTTTACCTGCCAGGTATTTTTATTCCTAAGAGAAGTCTAAGGTAAGATATTCTTCTTAAATCGGGGGAGAGCTAAGTTTTGTTGGTCCTGAAGCTTATACAATTCGAAGAGGCCCTTTTTAAGGAAAAGAAAATCAAAATATGAATTCAAATTAAGTACAGAGCCTCAGAAGAGGCCTATGCAAGTGAAGGACCCTAAAGATCAAACTTCATCACCTTCATGACATTTCTGCCTCTGAACAGCTTTCTCATTCTGGAGTAAATCGAAAGAACTCTGTTGCTCAAATTGTCTATACCTTCCATCTATATTAGATGAACTGAATTGTGGAACTGAAAAAAAAAAAAAAGACCACAAAAATAGATTGTTTTGGCCTAGAAGAGTCTGAAGCTCAGTTTTTAGCTATAACATGGAGGCATAGGCTTTCTTCGTTGGTGAGTTTTCGTGCTATTCTTTATATTTCCTGAAATTGTAGAAAGAGCAGCATGGTTCCTTTACAATCCACCTCCCATTACCTTTCTGACCACATCTATTGTTCCACTCCTCGCTGTTTCTTTGCGTTCTTACTGGTCTTCTCTGAGCCCACCTGGCATGCTCTCGCCTTAGGGTCTCTGATTGAGGTTCCTCTTCCTGAAATGGTATTGTCTCTACGTTACAGAGAAAGACTCATGGGTGCTGAAAACCCACAAAAACATCCATAGTGTTTAATCCACTCGTGTCGTTCTTGACTCCTCTCTTTCTCACATACTCCATCCAATCAGTCAGGAAACACTGTTGGCCCCATCTTCAAAATATGTTCCGAGTTCAACCATCACTTGCATCTCTACCATTGCCCTTTCGGTGGGGCCAGCAGCACCTTAGGTTACCTCTATAGCCTCCCATCTGATCAGTCTCCCTCCTTCTCCCCTCGCCCCCTATAGGCTATCTCAGCACAGCAACCAAGGAAGTCCTTTAAAATATAAGTTAGATCTTGTCACTTCTCTGCTCAAAACCCTCTCATGGCTCCCTGCTTCCTCCAGAGTAAAAGCCAATGTCTTTACAAAGGACTATAAACCTCTACAGCTTATGCTGTCCAAGGAGGTAACCACTGGCCACATTTGGCTATAGAACTTTGGAGATGTGGTCACTCTAAATTGAGAGGTAAAATACACACTGGATTTTGAAGAATTAGTTTGGGAAAAAAAAGAATGTAAAGATTGGTGGTTGCCAGAAATGGGGGCCTGGGGAGTGGGGGAAATGAGTGAAGGCAGTCAAAAGGTACAAACTCCTAATTATAAGACAAATAAGTTCTGGAGATGTAAAGTACAGCATGGTGAGTATAGTTAACAATGCTCTATTATATGAAAGTTGCTAAGGGAGTGGATCTTAAAAGCTCTCATAAGAAAAAAAATTGTAACCATGTGAGGTGATGGATGTTAACTAAACTTATTGTGCTAATCATTTTGCCACGTATCCATATGCAGAATCATTGTTTTACATCTTAAATGGATACAATGCTATATGTCATATCTCAATAAAACTGGAAAAAATAAAAAATACTCAATAATTTATGTTGATTATATATTGAAATTATATTTTGAATATATTGGATAAATAAAACATTATTAAAATTAATTTCATGAGTTTGTTTTTATTCTTTTAGTGTGGCTAATAGGAATTTTAAAATTACACACGTGGATAACATTTCTGGCTTGAATTGTATTTTTATTGGACAGCACTGGTCTACAGTATTTGATCCCTCCCTAAAACCTTTCCCAATCTTGTCTCCTGCTCTTGTTCTCTTCAATCCAGCCACACTGGTTTCCTTGCTATTTTTTGGAACTAGAGCACATCAGGCATCCTCCTGCCTCAGGGCCTTTGCACTCGCTGTTTTCACTTCTAGAAAACTTCTCCTCAAGTTATCCAAATGATTTGTTCCTTAATCATTTCTGGCCTTTATTCAAACTTCACCTTCTCAATGGACCTTATTTGAACTGCCTTACTGAAAATTGAATTCCTCATCCACCTCCACTCCTGTATTCACTAAGCCCCTTTCCTAATTTATTTTTCTATGTAGTGTTTGTCGCCATGTAACATACTATATGTTTTTTTGTATTTACTTTTTTTATTGTCTAACTTCCAACTGAAACCTAAGGCCCTTATGACTTTGATTAAATTTATAAATCATATCCTCTAGAAATCATATCCTTCTCTCTATATATAATACACCTGTCATACACCCAGTCCTTCCCCCAATAATCAGTAGCCCCAGAGGCAGCAGAAGATTGTCGCCTGGACCTGACTAATAGTCACATGGTCAGGACATCTAGCAGGCTAAAGATAGCATGTTGACTTAAGTTATGTTTCAGTCCCTGTGACCTAACGTGGAACGACCCCTGGCTACTTTCCCATGAGAATGGACAGAGAGACACCAGAAAAATCCTCAGAGCTGTCCTCAAGACTTGAAGAAATAATTTATTACCCTTACATCTCCTCCACACAATCAGTTCCTAGCATGACCCCGAACTCTGTAACCCACACACAGTGTCTTGTGATTTTGCCCCATATAATCTGTAACCTACATGTCACTGGGGAGTCGGGTCTTTAGAGCATTAGCTCCCTGTCTCAATATTGGCCAATTCAATATTAAACTATTTTTTCTTTCTATACTGCAAACTCTTGCTCATGTATTTCTTTGGACCAGTACATGCAAGCAGGCAGATCCAAGGAAAAAAATGTACTATGTATTTTTTGTATTTATTTTGTTTATTGTCTAACTTCCCCTCTAGAATGCACAAAGGCAGGGAATTCTTGTTTAAAGCTGTGCTCTCAGCATCTAGAACTGTGCTCAGAATATAGTAGGTGCTCAACTAATATTTGTTGAATAAGTACTGAATGAATTTTAATCAATCAATTACGCAGGTGAAGAAACAGAATAAGTAGCTCTTTCAGGGTTCACTGTGGGTTAGCAGAGTAGATGAACTCTCAGTAAGAGCAAATGCTATTGACCAGATATTCAGGTCCCAGCCTTTTACTTATATTTTTGTTTCCTCACCAGGCTCTGCCCATACTTTTGTGCCTCTTTTAAGCCTTGCAGTTGAGAAAAGAAGAATCTACTCCAGAAATATATTTCATCTCAGTCATCACAACCAGGAGATGACCTCCGAAATTCTTTTTTTGCTCCAATGATAAGCCTTTAAGATTTTTTTTTCTAGGTGGAAATTCTAGATCTGTCTAAATCTATGGAAATTAATGGTTTTTCATTAGGAAAAAAATTGCTCTAAGGAATCTATTGCACTTGATTATGTAATGAAATAGTTAAGCTATAGCCTGGAGAATTTAAATGAGTTTATTTATTTGACTAACCAACACATATTTGCTGAGCACTAACATGTGCCAGACTCTGCTTTAGGTGCTGGGAACAAACATGATCATCAAGGAGCTAATGAGCATGTACGGAGGGAGGGGTGTGTGTAAACAAACAAATATAGGATGGATTCTTGTCCTATTGCTGCTGTAACCAATGACCACAAACTTAGTGGCTTAAAATACACATTTGTTCTCTCACGGTTCTGGAGATCAGAAGTCCAGAATGGATCTCATTTGGCTAAAATCAAGGTACCAGGAGGCTGCTGCATCCCTTCTGGAGGCTCTAGAGGAGGATCCGTTTTCTTATCTTTTCCAAAATTTAGTGACTGCCTATATTCCTATCTTGTGACCTCTTTCTTCATCTTCAGAGCACATCAGGTGTCAGTGCCTCACTACACGTGTCTTCCCTTAGGCTTACTCAAATGATCTGGCAGCTGGCCTCCCTGAGGGCAAGTAACCCCAGAGAGAGAAACAGTCTAAGAAACTTCAGTCATTTGTAACCCAATCTTGATAGTGATGTATCGTCACTTCTGCCATCCTATTGGTCACCCAGAGCAACTCTGGCACAACAAGGGGGAAGATTACACAAATTGTTCCCCCAGGAGGTGGGGAGCACTGGGGGTCACCTTGGAGTCTGGCTACCACAATATTATTGAGATTACAAGTTTTCCATTGCTAGAATGTAGGGCAATCATGAAAGATTGGCGGGAATGATGTCGACTTGGGAGGGGATGTCTAAAGCATGAAAGGCCTGTACAGTTGGCCAAGGAGTTTGGCCATGATAGTTTTATTGATAGGGGGCTATTGCAGGGTCTTAGTTAATATGGAGCTTTATTGCAGAGACGTGACATGACCAAATGCCTTTTAGAATGATCACTGTGTGTGTGGTAAGGGCGTTAAGAAGGGTATAAGAAGCGAAGGGCAAAGAGATTAAGGAGAGAGAACAGCTAAGAGGCTATTTGCAGTAGTGCAGGAGAGGCTTGCTGTAAGGCAATAAGTGGTCAAGGGGTGCTGAGGGAGATGAATTCAGGGCATCCTCAGGAGGTGAAATGGTTAAGAAGGCAGAGGGTGAGGGAAGGCCTCAGGATGAGTCAGTCTTCTGGTTTGCAGGAGGACCTGCTTGATAGGAGAGTCAAAAAGAGTTAACAAGCCTACATTTGAGTATATTGAGTCTGAGCTGCTGGTAAGGCAGTCAGGTATAGAGACAACTAGTGGGTAGTTAGAGTGAAATAAACTTAGTCTAGCGTAACTACAGCAAGGCCTTTTAAGCATTTCTCCAGAGAGACTGCACCCTGGCCAGAGGACAGCTCTTTTCCCTCTGTGTTGGTGTTAAGTCCCAGCCTAAGATGAAAATCATTTTGTAGATGCCACCTTTATATTATCATCACCCTTGGAATTACCATTTTCTGAATGCCTGTTCTATAGCATACTCTGTGCTCTGCACCTTCCATTTATTTTATTTCATCTTCACAATAACCCACTGAGATATATAATGTTATTTTCTCCTTTTTATAGATGTGGAAACTGAAGTAGCTACCACCATTATCCCATCATACAGATGAGGAAACAGGCTTAGCTAGTGTAAATAATGATGCTCAAGGTTATGTAGTGAGTATGTGAGAGACACAGGTTTCACATCCAGATCTTTGGACTGCAGACTCTGTGCCTTTAATTGAACAGCCACGACGTGTGCTTTATAGAATTAGAGACAATTCCAACAGAGTTGGGGTAAGGTGGAGTGATGATTTACAGCCTGATTGATGTGTGACAGACAACAAATAAATAAAGCAGGAGCAAGGTCAGGAATCCACACATGCAGTGGTGTGGAGAATGAATCAAATGCCCTCTTCCTGTTAAATATGTAGAGATTTTGACATATTGGCAATGTTTGCTAACTTCTTCCTGGGACTCTTTTTCAATTTTTTGCTATTTGTGAAAAAAATGTGTGGAATTGTTTTCATTCACTTAAAAAAAAATTGCTCATTTTCTTGTCACAAGAAAGTACAACGTGCTGCATCAGCCAGATGGCCTTTCGAGCTTAAGATTGATGCAAAGGGAGTTTTACCACAGTGCAGTTTTCATTAGAAAGGAGAAAGGGGAGTGGGCGGATGAAGGATGTCACACAGATCATGTCTTTTTCTTAAAGCAAATTCCCACAATGGCAGATAAATTGGTCTGGAAATAGCTACCCGCCATTTCTTTATGTAAAACTTAAATTAAAAAAAAAAAAAAAAAGATCCCATATCGAAAGTTATAGTGTGGAATTTAAGAGACAATAAAGGAAATGGCAATAATGCCTAGCTTCGTAAATGGCTCTTAGACCATTTGCTGTTGAAGGGAACCAAAATTTTGCTACCCTTAAGCCTACTTTTCGACATATTGATTTTAAGCTGTTTATTAAGAAACAAAAGACTCAGAAAGAACCTTTGACCCTCCCCGCTTTCCTGCCGCAGAGATTCAGGCAGAAAAACCTGCTTTAGGAATGAAATTTTAGGATGTTCACCTTAGCCTAATTTGAATTAATTGTAAATAGGAGGGCTTCAAGCAACAGCCTGTCCCATTGCTTCTGAGTTGCTCAGTAAGAAATTGTCTGTCATGTGTATTCCACTCTTCCTCAACTACCTGCAAATTGCAATTCTCACTTCTGAAATCTAATACCTCGTTCCTCCACTCTTCTCCTTTGTCCAAAATGTCATATATACCCAAAGTTGCCTCACTATCTTTGGAATTTTCATGCACATGTGAATTCTCTGTGTACGTGTATTAAAAATTTGATTTCCTCTTGTTAATCTGTCTCCTGTTAATTTGATTATTAGCCTAGCTAGAAGAACTTAGAAGGTGGGAGGAAAAGTATTTTCTTTTAAACTCTCATACTGTCCTAGAGAAGATCTGACCTCTGGACCTCAAGCTTCCTGCACATCAGAGTGTGGGAGCACAGATTTCACAGACAGGCAAGAGAAACTGCATAGCTTCTCTGCAGTTGTCTGGAATATCCCCGAAGATGCAAAAGACGGGCTAAATATGGGCTTTCACCTTGAAGTGCCATAAGGGTAATAAAAACAGGGCATGGTGGTTTATGATAGGTTCATTTGCAACACTCCCACTTCACATTTTATGTGAGTTTCCAAGCAACAGAGCTTATTGAAACTAAAGAAGTAGGGAAGCGAGTGATGAGCCCAGAGGGTTCA